ATTAACCAATCAATTTCCTTATGCTTATGCGTTATGCTTTATGTAAAAGCTTGTGCTCTCGGCTTAACGTCGCGAGAGGAAAATCACTGAAGGAAGGGGACGAGGTAAACTGTGCACATTTTTGATTGGCTACTATTTGACGCAAGTGCAATTGGTCATTATTCGACGCAAAAATATTATGCAATTTGGGCAGATATAATGAGCATTTAAAGTTATATCAAGAAAAACATTAATTAAAATTGTTATTTTAAATATATTTTGTGAATATAAAAAATGGTGCAGTGTTTTGTACAGTCTTGTAAAAATAGATCCGACTATCAAAATTGGAAACAAAGTAATAGCGGAAATAATGTAAAAATAACATTTCACAGGTATTGAAATTATTTATTCATATTAAAGTTAATATTATATGTTTAAAATAATATTATATATTTTATTTTAAGAGTATAAGTTGTTAAAATATTGTTTTTTCTAGTTTTCCCAAAGATCCTAAAACTCGTACATTGTGGTTAGATATTTTGGAAATAAATTCATCATCTATCCCAAGTACAGCTCGTATTTGCTCTGTCCACTTTGAAGAGAAATTCTTTGACAGAACATGTTTGATAACTCGACTTAGACGAAATGCATTACCTAGTGTATAATAACAACAGCATACGTATAACGATAACCAATCAGATTCAGGCACAGTATCATGGCGGACCCCCCCGCATTTTGGCTTCACTCCCCTCGTCTATCAATCAAGTTTACGCTCCGTCCCTATATTCCTATGTCCATGCAAAAAAGGTGTGTGCCGCGAGAATCGGCTGAAAAGCTGAAGTAATTCCAAGCACTGTCATATGTTGTAAGAATTATCAACCATTTCGAATGCGTTAGAAATATTTGTTCCAATATTAAAACAAATATCAGTTTTAAAATGTTCCTAAAATAGTAACATGATAATTTTGAATGCAAGCGAATAACTCTCAATAAAACTAAAATTTAATATTAATTGAGGAGTACTAATAAAATTTTTTATTGTTCTAGTCATTTAATATACAATAAACACAGTTGTCATGTAATCATAAGTATTATAAGAAAAACTATGTTCACTGTAATATTTGTTACCAGAAAAAGAAAAAATTCTGTTTTTCATAAATTATATGTATTATTTTAGTAATTATTTTAGTAATATTTATTGCTGCTTTATTAATGTTATTATAAATAATTTAGTAGAGCGACAGGCCCTGTAGAAACTCACATATCAACGGATATGAGCAATGTTACAGTCAAAATGTTAATCAATTCGGTAAGCCACAAACTTCCAGAAAGAATAATATCGTCATTTAAGTCAGTCGTCTCGACATTCAGTATTTCGGTGGATTTTGCATTGTGAGTGTTTAATAGCTCAACGTGAAATCAGGGAATTGCAAAGAACTTGTAGCCCTGTATTCGTAGATTTCAGAATTTTTAACGACTACGAGGTGAGTGAGATAGTATATAAAACATTTTATTTTAAATATATAGTATTTTATGTAAAACAATTTATTTTATATAATAAAATATATCAGTAAATAGATAATACTATATGCAAGATTTATTGATCTTAGTACACAATATATGCAACGTTATAATACTTTTTCAGATTTTTGGGCAAGACGTAACTTGATTATACCGCTTATAAGCAATTGTCGCAAACAATTCATATTCAATACGCAAGAATGGAATTTGTTAAAGATAGTCTCGGCAATAATTATTCCAACCCGAATATGTCTGAACAAGAATTACAATTATTTAATTTTTGTAACAATAACAATGATCTTGAAGGAATTTACCGAAACATAACTGAAGAAATAATTAAACAATATAACGAGAACATTGAAAGTGCTCGACTCAACATATTTGTGAACACAAGTAAAATTAAAAAATTCAAAGATTTCTGTAACGAAGATATTTTCGATAAATATTTTCCCACCACTGATTTAATATATAATCTCTATAGTATTTCTAACTCAAAACATCTATTTATTAATACTCTTACAATTGAGACGTTCAATATCAAAAAGTATTATTTGCCGATATTTATTATTCTGGGTCTTTTGGGTAACAGTTTGTCCGCTACCGTGTTCTTTCGTAAAAAGATGCGTTCCTTCTCGTCCAGCATCTACTTGGGCGTGCTAGCAATAAGCGATATCAGCTTTTTGCTCATGATATTCATACAATGGCTCAGAATAATGGAAATATTGGAAATGTATAATTTGCATTGGTTAATGTACTCAGAGAATTTCTTGGTCTATTTTTTAAAGTTCTTGAGTGTGTGGCTTATAATAGCTTTTACCATCGAGCGATATATAGTGACGAAGCATCTGCTTCTACGTCAATCCTGGTGCACTGTCAACCGAGCTAAAATTGTAGTGATCACGCTGATAGGACTAGCGATTTTCTACAGCATTTTATATGTTTTCCTCGAGAGTACATCAATAAATATGAAAGACCAAGATATAAAGGTCCTTCATATATTCAAACATGTATCATCAGAGTCCATCAAACAAGATTCAAACATTTACGTGATGACTAATGCTATAATAATGTTTACCCTACCTGCACTCATCATAATAATCTTCAATACTCTGACGAGATGGCACATTTATCTGCAAAATCATATCAACAAAACCTTGATTTCAACGTCCGGTACTTCCAGTGAGAATACTCAGATTACCGTAAATGAAATGCCTGAGAATAAGATCACAAAAATGCTTATTCTTGTTTCGAGCACATTTGTATTCTTGAAATTACCTGCACATATTCATTTCTTTATTGAGTCTGACGTATGTACTAATAATTTAATACAAAATAATTTTTATATATATATTAAAATAATACCGATCATAATATATGTATAATCTTTTAACACTAAATCTGCATTCTGTATAAGATAAAAAAATATTAATTAATTTTTGTTTGAAAATTAAAATTTTTTTTTAATTTATACTACTTACAATTATCACATTATGAATGACACTATAATAACAATTTTTTATATTAAATATTCGCGTAAGAAAAGGATGTATGCAAAAATGTTACATCTATTAATATATCGTACAACAAAATAAACCAATTTTTTCAGATGTATAAAGATGGCATTAATTGGACCATTATGTCTGAAATATGCGATTTATTAAACACGACGAAATACAGTATAAATTTTGTTCTCTACTGCGCAATGGAACAAAATTTTCGCAGAGAATTAATTCGCACATTTACCAAGTGCGAATTTTCAAAGAAACAGAAATGTCACGAAGATGGACAAATATAAGTAACAATATGATTGATACCAAATTATGCAGCTATGATTAGGTAATACCATAATTAAACACGACGGTCTACATAATTATTTTACATTAATCAAAAATTCTTTTATTATCTTTTTTTTATATGACTCTTATTAATTAAATGAATATAGTGTTAAGTAAGCCAAATTTTTCTCAATTTGATAATGCATTTTGTTACAGCTTGCAAATTTGTGCCAAATTGCACTTTAAATGGAGCAATGTATTTATTAAAAACGCACAACGGAAAGTTTCTCAAAAGAAGGTAGAACTCTTGATATATACATATACGAGGAAGATTATAATATAGTCACATATTAAAACTTCATAGGAACATAGTTAGCGGCAAATAGTTAAATAAGATAGTTACATATATTATTGCATTAAAAATGTTAAAAGTAAGTTAAAAATAACAACTAAAAAAATCTATGATGCATATGTATAAATAGTATGTACAAATATTTTACCGCACTGTAAAGAAAACTACATGTTTAACAATTCTATTAATGAATGTGGGCCTATGTATAATAATCTAAAAAAAGTGTTGATTGAGTTATTTGAAATAAATGAATTGTCACATCATAGATTGTAATGCAAAGATAATTTGTTATTGTTAGAAAGTGAGTTATCTAATTCGTATTTGTATTAGCCAATAGGTAAAACATGTAATTTTGTACAAGTTAGAAGCGCTGGTGTGCGATCGGAAATGATCGAACTTCGTCGATTATGGAAAGCTCACAGAATACGTTTGTTAGATTGGTTAACGTTATTAGAAGAGATCGAACACTCGAGAAGAGAAGTCGTACATTAAAAAAGAAAATAATGTCGTATAAAATTTGCATGCATTTTCTACTTTTCGTACGTTTTGGTACTTGTCATTTTTTGTGGTTTATACTTTTTTCTTTGCTTATATTAATACTGAATAAGCTTTGTATTCGTTTTTTTTTAAGTGCTAAATTATTTTGTTGCCATGCAGTTTCACCTAAAATTTATTTTATTATTTACCATTAAAGTTATAAAAATAACATGTCTATTCATTACAAGAATATTTTCTAAAAAGAAAAAACCTACCAAAACATATAATATACTATTTACATATTATCATATCACAAATATCTATATCAATTAATGTATTAATGTACAAGTACATTATTACGTACGTTTAATAATTTTACTTACTACACAAGTGCATGTTATTTTATTCTGTGTAACAAACGCTTTTAAACATATCTTGTCAATTTTCATTTGTTACATATACATATTGCTTCCTTTCATATTGTGAGCATTTTTGAGTAATATACTCAGATTAATGACTTATAGTGAATTTGTATCTGGTGTCGAAAATAGTTGTTAAAACGAGAGAGCAATCATCAACCCAGTAATATGCGCCGTAATATTATTCCAATTTAAAACAAATATTAGTATCAAAATTTTCCTAAAATAGTAACACGATAATATAAGTGTCTAAATCTTAATAAAACTAAAAATAAAATATTAATTATACAGTACAAAATAAAATATTTTATTGTTTAAGTCATTTATACGTCAATATACAATGACTAGAATTATCATGTCATCATAATTATTATATTATGCTAATAAAAAACTATATTTGCTATAATATCTTACATAAAAAAAAAATAGAAAACAATCTTCCTAATAAATTTTATGTATTATTTTAGTAATATTTACTGCTTCTTTTAATGATAATATTAATACTTTCGTAGTGCGACAGGTTTCTCCAGAAACTCATTTGTCAACGGATATGGCCAATATTATAGTCAAAATGATAATCTTTTTGGTAAGCCACAAACTTCCAGGAAAAAATAATATCGTTGTCCAAGTCAGTCATCTCGACATTCAGTCTTTTGCAATCGTTAGTGTTTAGCTGTTGAACGAGTGAAATCGGGGAATTGCTGAGAGTTTGTAGCCCCTGCATTCGTAGGCTTCAGAATTTTTAACGACTCTCTGGTAAGTGAGATAGCGAATAAGACATTTTACTCTTTAAATATTTAAAATATTGTATATAATTTGTATATTTTGTATATTTCATTTTTTTAATATTAAAAAAAAATTTTAATAAATATATCGATAAATAAAATTTATATGCAAGATATTAATAAATAATATATATAATAACGTTATAACGTTTTTTAGACGCAAGACGCAACTTGATTATATCACTTTTTGCTCTTTATCTCATAAGCAATTGTTGCAAACAATCCATAAACATACGCAAGGATGTTTTTTGAAAATAATCTTGGCAAAGATTATTCCAGTATATCTAAACACAAACTACGATTGCGTGTTTGTAATAACGAAAGAGATCTTGACGAAAGTTTGCAAAACATGGCCGATTATCATATTCAAAATATCAACAGTATACGTATCATGATGCTTCATTCACTTGTGAACATAAGTAGAATTAAAAATTTCAAAGATTTATGTAATGAAGACATTGTAGGCAGACATTTTCCCATCACTTACGTCATAAATAAATTATATTTTTTTTCTGAGCTATACCATGTATATGTAGATAATTTGGACACCATTTCAAATATCAGAAAATACAGTTTGCCGATTTTTATTATTTTCGGTCTTTTAGGAAACTGTTTGTCCGCCACTGTGCTCTTCCGTAAAAAGATGCGTTCTTTCTCGTCCAACATCTACTTGGGCATGCTAGCAATAAGCGACATCGTCTATTCGATGATATTAATTATTGATTGGCTCTTTTTATTGGTTGATTATATAAATCCAGAAAACAATTATTTGTATTGGTTATATATCTTTACAGACTTTCTGTTCTCCTTCTCCGAGTTCTTGAGTGTATGGCTTATACTAGCTTTTACCATCGAGAGATTTATAGTGATAAAGTATCCGCTTCTACGTCGATCCTGGTGCACTGTCAAACGAGTAAAAATCGTAGTGATCACGCTGATGGGGCTAGCGATTTTGCGCAGCATTCTATATATTTTTTTTATTTCTAAGACGATGCTGTATGAAATAACAAGTAAAAAAAAAATAAATATGTATGATGTGTACAAATATCTCAAATTTGAACCTCATGGAGCTAAGCATACAAAGCGCATTATAGATTCTATTATAATATTTACTCTACCCGCTATCGTGATAGTAATCTACAATACTCTGATCGGATACCACATTCATCAGCAAAATCGTGTTCGCAAAACCTTGATTACAACGTCCGATTCTTTTAATGAGAGAACTCAGATTTCTAGTGATAAAATGCTTGAACATAAGATCACAAAAATGCTTATTCTCGTTTCGAGCATATTTCTAATCTTGAAATTACCTGAACATTACTTTGTTTTCATAATGTATTACGTAAGTATCAATAATTCACTTTAAATTAATATTGACCATATAATATGTAAATTACTTACTCGAAAAATGAATTCTGTATATAACAAAAAAAATTAATTAATTTTTCTTTCAAAATTTAAATTTTTTAAATTATTTATAATGTTTAATTTTTATATTATAAACGACATCATATAATAATTTTTTTTTATTAGATATCCACGTGAGAAAATGTATACGTTAAAATACGGCACGTTATTATTAATTGTTATATACAACAAAATTAACAATAATAATTTTTCCAGGTATCTGAATATGTCAATGTAGCAGTTATGGGCACAATATTGGAATTATTAAACATAGCACATTACAGTATAAATTTTGTTCTCTACTGTGCAACGGGACAAACTTTTCGTAGAGAACTGATCCGCATGTTTACGAAATGTACAAAAATAAGAAAGAACTGAAATATCATGAAGATAGACAATTATGAGTAATAGTATCATTAATACCGAACTATGCAGTTATAATAAGGTAAGACTATAATTGAAATTCTATACTATATTCTATACTAAACGGCATTCTATACCGTAAAAAATCGATAAATTTACAAAACTAAATGCAAAAATTACATGATAAATATCAAAAATTTACCAAATACATATCCAGTAAACCCAAAGTAACAGTAACACAACATTATTCTAACACAACATTAATGTTATAATTCCCCACTTAACAATATAATTATTACGTACAAGGAATGTTATATTGCAGGTACATTGTTGAGTGAGAAATTATAACATTGACGTTACTGTTAGCTTGTGTTTACTGGATATATATTGCAAATATACATAATTTCATAAATCTTATACTACTTTGTATATTTCCATTATTTATTATGTAATTTTCACATTTTTGTGTAAATTTACCGAATTTTTTGACAGTGTGCATCTTTATGTTTCATTGATCAAAAATTCTTTTCCTATCTTTGTTATATGACTTTTATAATTAAATAAATAAAAGGAAAAATTAGTCAATTTTTTGTCAATTTGATAATACTTTGCATTTTGTTACAGCTTGCAAATTTACGTCCAATCGCACTTTGAGCAGAACAATGTATTTGGTAACAACGTACAAATGAAAGCTTTTCAAGAGAACCTAACACTTCTGATATACACGAGAATATATGTATTATAACTGCATAAAAATATAATTAACTGCAAATAGCTAAATAAAATACATATACATATTATTGTATTAAAAGTGTATCGTATTAAAAGTAAGTTAAAAATAACAAATAAAATATCTATAATACACACATATATATCTGAGTCGGAG